CTTCCTCGGAATGCTCATATATATATAAACAAATTTACAACATTATCAAATAAAATAAATATTTTTTTTATAATATATATAGATAAATAGATATAAATGAGTTATTCATGAATTGTTATTGTCAAATTTTTAAAACTTGGATTCATCTCAATTAAATAATGAAACTTAATTTTAAGTCTAAATTTATATTTTAATCAAATGAATATGATTGAGCGAGTGAAGCTCAAATAATGTATGAAAAATTTGACGTGTTTACACTCTAATAACAATAATAATAATAACAATAATAACAATGATATTATGGACAACATAATAGTAATGGTAGTAATAATAGTGACAAGTCAACAAAGGTTGATCCAGTTGATAAGAAACAAATTCATAGTTCAAAAGGATGTGAATTCAATTCCTATCGATGTAATGATGTAATTGATAGATAATTTGACATTGAGGTTTTCTTTGACCTTAGTAAGTTGAGACTCAATTCATCTAAATTTTCTTTCTAAAAAATAATAATGATGACAACCATTAATAGTATAAAGATTATAATACTGATATTAAAATTAAAATAATTTTTGAATTTTTTTATTTTGATTAATATTTTAAAATAAAAAAGTAGTTACTTAGAAAAAGTTAGTTATGAACAGATTATTTAATTTTTATTAGGATTAAAAAAGAGAAAAATAAAATTTGAATAAAATGGTAAAATAAAAATTAAAAGAGTAATTAATAGGTTGTAAGAACTTAATGACAATATTAACAAATTAATGATATTAAATAACAGTATATTAAATGAGATGTCAATTAAATAGATGTGTTTGTATATACTTGAACAATAATAGAGAGCGTACCAAATGTTATTTATAACATACACGAAAATAAATTGTTATGATAAAAAATACGTGACAAAAGGAAGAAACAATTATGTAATGTAAATGATAGCAATGCACCGATGTATTATTGCTGAATCATGCAAAAGGCGATAGACAGAAGAATTCAAGTTAGCAGCAGAATTACTATGCAATAATAGAACGAGAAAATAGAATCACTCCTGTCTGCCTTTCTTTCTCCTCTAACAGAATACTTATATCCCCACCATCAATACTGAAACCCACGTAGCCTAGAATTAGTGATGTGCTTCTCCTGCTAATAGCCTCACGATGATCATTTGCCACGTGTCCAAATCCTTCCCCTTGCTGCATAGACACTGATTCAGGTCCCTCACTAGTTTCATTCATTACAATTCCTTCCCCTTTAAAAAAAACCTTGTCCTCAAGGTTGAAAGATGGATATGCAACTTTCATGGCATCCTTGTCTTCCCATGTTGCTTGAGAATCATCCAGACCTCCCCATTGAATCAACAACTATGAAATTTGTTGTTGTCCCCTCAAAATAACACGATCCTTCAGTATAGCCACTGACTGAATCACTGATAATTGTTCATTAGTAGTGAGTGGTAAGGGAACATAAGGTTGATTGTGATTTTCATGGCAAAGCTTAAGCTGTGAAACATGGAACACTGGGTGAATCTTGGTTGAAGAAGGCAAAAACAACTTATATGCAACAACACCAATTCATTCCACCATAGTAAAAGGCCCAAAATACCCTAAACTTAGCTTCTGATTTTTTCTTAAAGCAACAATGTGTTGCCTATAAGGTTGAAGCTTCACCAAAACCATATCACTATCAGCAATAGCAAATTACTTAGGAACCCTTTTATTATCTGCATTCTTCTTCATAACTCGCTGAGCTCTTTATAAATTGCACTTCAACTTGGCTAAGGTAGCATCATGAAGCGCAAGTTGATCCTGAACAACATCTGTATCTTGAGAATTAGGAGTGTATCGCAATAACTGCGAGGGGTCTTGACCATACACCACCCGAAAAGAAGTCATACCAATACTAGTATGATAAGCAGTGTTATACCAAAACTCAGCCCATGGTAGTAACTTATACCAGTCCTTAGGATTATCAAATATGAAGCATCACAGACACATCTCGAGGCATTTATTGATAGCTTCCGATTGACCATCCGACTGGGGATGGTAGGCCATGGACATGTTTAAAGAAGTGCCACTCAATTTCAATAATTGTTGCCAGAAATGATTAGTGAAAACTGTAGAAAAAATAAGAGAGACGAGGTAATACAAATGTTGTGGGTGAATTAAATATTAAGTTGTATAATATTGTTGTTGTTGTTGTTGTTGTTGTATTAAAGTTGCTTCTAAGCTGTATGAATGAGTTGTGTTTTTATGTTGAATTGCATGATTGTTAGTATGTTGAAGTGTGTGGTGTCTTGCTTCATGTTTGATTTTGAACTCTAGCTTACCCTTCTGTTTCCATGTGATGGAACTGCGATGATCATACTTGGTATGAGAGCAGGTCAGGACTAGCTTGGAGTTGAGGTGATCGCTGCGAGACGGGGAGTTTTGATCCTCGTGTTAGAGTTGCCACCTTGGGTAGCAGTTTTGTGCTTGACCGGCACTAGGAGATAGTAGTTTTGGATAACTGTATAAATACCTAATACTTAAAAAAAATAAATTACACCGCACTCAATTCAATTATCATTTAGATCATCAAATTTACCAAACAATACAACAAACACATTCATAAATTAATATAAAAGCTGATTGAATCATCAATTTCACAAAACAACATACCAATTGATAAAACCCCAATCTCTCATAAACCCTAACTCAGAGGCACATTTCAATTAATTCAATCTCTCTCCCAGAACATCAATTTTTAACATCTAATACCATAAATACAATCACCAATACAAGTATAATTTATCTGAATTACCAAATATACAAACATAAAATATTATAAAATTACTAAGAATGGGAACTCTCTCCCTCTACCCATTCCCTCAGATGACTTCACATACAAAAATCCCCTTTTTCCCTCGTACCTAGTTACGTAAATTCAAATAATCCTTATGCCAAATGAGGTTGTTCTTGAGCACCTCTTGAGCACTCTTCCTCAAAGTTTTCTATTTCTCCCATCTTTTTCCTCTAACCCTTAAGAACGCAAAATGAAACAGATAGAGTTAACTCTATTTGACTCTTTCTTAAAAATAATCCACTGGGCTAAGTCAACCAACATATTTTCCTTCTCTTCTCAACTCGTTTCTCTTTTTCCCAAAATAATTAAATA